TTTTGTCAGTAATTTCGTTTTAATATTCTACATCATGTAAAGGTTAGTAGTTATCAAGTGCGTATCGTGATTTGCTTGGAAGAGTGAACCCATTTTATATCAGTATTTTGTCAGTAATTTCGTTTTAAAATTCTACATCCTGTAAAGGTTAGTAGTTATCAAGTGCATATCGTTAATTTTTTGGAAGAGTGAACCTATTTTATATCAGTATTTTGTCAGTAATTTCGTTTTAAAATTCTACATCCTGTAAAGGTTAGTAGTTATCAAGTGCTTATCGTTAATTTTTTGGAAGAGTGAACCTATTTTATATCAGTATTTTGTACGATTTTAGGATTCGGGGGCGGGAATAACGTTAGACATTTTCGAAGAGGCAAAAATGTATAGTAACTGACTGTAACTATGATTTATAAAACAATTTCAATCAGTCTGTATTTGAATGCCAGTAAGCAGTTTTTCACCACTAAATGACTTTATCATGTTTTTGACAATTTGTCTTTATGCGTATTTGGATTGAATTTTAAGATTTTGATATTTTAAAACTATGTATGTATGTGTGTGAGAGGTCCGGCATGGCCAAGTGGTTAGGGCGCTCGACTCGTAATCCTAGGGTCGCGGGTTCGAATCCCCGTTACACCAAACATGCCAAACTCCGTTAAGGTTGAGAAAGGAGGAGGGTTTTGCGCGGGGCTAGCAATTCCACCCCGTAAATCCAACCTGCTACAAGTAACTGCAACAACAACAACTTTCCGTTGGTGAGGTGTTGTTACGGCCCTATGCTCCACTGGGAGTTTACAGGAGTACAAAAAAAAAAAATGTATGTGTGAGAGTTTATTTGGATTCCTTGGTCAGTTTTTTTTTTTGTGTGTGCTCACTTTGAAGTTATGAAAGTTAATAAACAGTATTTACAGTTTAGTTGATTGGAGTGTTGACAAGATCTTAAATGACAGTTGCATATTAATTCTATCAACTTCCTCCAGGAAAAGTCCCCTGGTGGGACAGCGGTAAGTCTTCGGATTTACAACGCTAAAATCAGGGGTTCGATTCCC